TAAACAACCCCCCGTCCCGGACATGAGGACCTATGTCCGCGAATAAATTGGCAAACAGGATAGGGTCGCGACGGCACGTTGCAAAACCGAATCTCCAACCAAAACCTCGGCCACCCTAGGCACCCCATCCGATCCATACGAAAACTTAACAATGCGCCCACGGCGCCAATACAAAGACAAGCCGTTAGGTTCTTTAACTAACACGAGGTCTCCAACCCGAGGGGGATCCGTCTTGTCAGACCACTTAACGCGCTGCTGCAAAAGATGTAGGTACTCCAGAGACCATCGGTGCCAAAAACTCTGAGTCATTTGTTGCAGCAGGTCAAATCTGCTCAACCGCGAAGAGCTTATTTCCCTGAAGGGGTACTCGGGCAGGGCGTTAAGCGGCTGGCCAATCAGGAAGTGGCCAGGGGTTAGAACCTTCAAATCATTCGGATCGGACGAGAGGGGACAGAGGGGCCGAGAGTTGAGGACCACCTCAATTTTACAGAATACAATGGCAAGCTCCTCAAATGTCAAAATAGTTTCGCCAATAACGCGACGGAGATGCGTTTTTGCAACCTTAACCACCGCCTCAAAAATACCGCACCAGTGTGGGCAAGCCGGCGGGTCAAATTTCCACTGGATGCCCTTGTTGGACATCGCAGTAGCTAAATAAGTCCTGTTGCTGGACAGAAATTCGACGACCTCCTTCAAATATCTATCCGTGCCTTTATAATTCGTTCCGCAATCCGACCGGATCAGGTCCGGTAAACCGCGACGCGATACGAAGCGGCCCAGCGTGGCCACAAAGGCATCAGTGCTAAGGGCACTTACAAGTTCTAAGTGAACGGCCTTAGTGGAGAGGCACACGAAAACGCACAGATAGGCCTTATGCGAACGCGCATTACGAAGGTTGGAGGACTTGATGAGGAAGGGGCCAGCAAAATGGTCGGACGGCCCTGACGCGGTCGGGTGGTAAGTCACACATCATCGGCTGTGATATGGAGGCCTTCAATTTATAACAAGATATGCACTAAAAATGACGCTCCGAATGGTGCGTCGGCCAGCCAAAATCCGAAACTCCCGCTGCAAAATAGCCGAAAGAGCGTTGCACCCAGCGTGGGCATTCTGAACATGGTGGTGAGTTACCAGCAACCGAACAAAGGCGCCGTCCTTGGGGAGCAGTAAAGGGTGTCGAGTCCCGTACGGCAGTTGAGAATTTTTCAAACGTCCGCCAACGCGCAGCATCCCCGCGTCATCCAGGAAGAGGTTCAGGCGGGCCAGCGCGCCCTTGACAACGAAGCCCCGCTTCAAGGTATCAATCACGAGTTCAAAATGCTCCGCTTGGACCATACGGGTCCAATGCATCAAGGTTTCGCGCCGCTCGCTAGGGGACAAGGCGGAATCAGATTATCGGTTGGATGGGTCTCTCGAATTGCGGACAAATCGACGCAACCAAGCAGTCACTCCCAAGAGCTTATCGAGAGAGCTGTACTGTTCTAGCAGGAAGAAATCCCGAGTGGCTTATCCCTGCTCATACTCGGGCTCGTAGACCAGGCAATTCAATCGGTTCAGAGTATTTATTCTGGGGCCAGAACGACTGAGACTCAGTCAACCAACTGGGCCCCCACCACAGCGGGTGGTCAACCAAGGAGGGGGCTTCACAGCCGCGAGAAGCGCAGTCTGCGGGATTCAACTCCGCTGGGACATGTCTCCAGGTTAGAGGCGTGCCAGAATTCTGGATTTGAGACACGCGGTTAGACACAAAGTACTATCTCACTGTCCGACCAAGTGTAGACGTCCGTAATGTGTGTCCGTGACTTCAAAGAAGAGTGAACGTGGTTGAGGAGTCGCGTTAGAAGAGCGGCTCCGGACAGTTCCAATTTAGGGATAGTTAAGCGGGACCTAATGGGAGCAACCTTGCTTTTAGCAAGTACGAGATGGACGGAAGTATGGCCAGGAGAGCTCACAGTCTGCAAATATACGACCGCAGCATAGCCTTTCTCAGAGGCGTCGCAAAATCCATGCAGGGTAGCCCTGCATTTCCCTGGAGGGAGAAAGCACCTTGGCATGGAGACCCGGTTGATGTCCGGAAGGGAGGACACAATGGAGAGCTACTCTCGCAGGAGAGCACCGCTTATAGGGTCGTCCCAGCCCAACCCGGATATCCAGAGTTTCTGAAGGAAGCATTTAGCCAAAAAAATGACCGGAGTGATCCATCCATTAGGATCGAAGGTGCGGGCTACAGTCGACAACACAGAGCGCTTGGTCCAAGGTTTAGGAGGGGGATCGAGTTGAAGGTATCCTGAACAGGCTGATATTAAATGCCCAGCACAGTCAACAAATTAGGATTGTCAGGGTGCTCGAATAGATGAGGGTCTTGTTGATCCTCTCCTGGGAGGTCCTTCAAAATATGAGGGGAGTTCGACAACCGTTTGCGCAGCTCATAGCCTCCTGACTTCAAGATGGCAATTATTTCGTCTCGCAGTACAAGAGCCTCCTCGACGGTGGCGGTGCCCGTGCAAATATCGTCCATGTAGACCGACGTCTCCAAGATAGAAGCCCCCCGAGCGTATCTTAGACGCTCTCTCTCAGCAAGTTCGAGGAGGGTTCGCATGGCGATGTACGGGCTGGACCGGAGTCCATAGGTGGTGGTGTTCAACTCAAACACTTGGATCGGATCGCTGGGCTTCTCGCGCCACAATATCAGCTGATATCGACGGTCATCACGATGGACCACTGATTGTCGAAACATCATCCGAATGTCGGCTACAAAAACAACTTGGTGCCGACGGAAGAGTGTCAAAATGTCGGATATGTCTATGTCTGAAGGGAGGAATATAGGAGGCGCCGTCCCCGCCGTACCTCTCCTCAAAATGGAGCCGAAGATCGAGAGGCAGGCAGGACAGCACAATGTGGAGCAACAAAAAGGACCATTCGTCCACCGGTAAATCCAGCCGCCTCAAAGAATTGCAGGCCACCAAGACTGGATTTACGAGGTCCGGTCGTAGTCTGGCCCGGTCCTTTAGCAGCGGGAGGTTCAACAGTAGCTTGACGTGCTCGTCCGCAATTCGCCTTACGTTGACGTACCTTCCGGCAAGGAGGTCCCGAGCGGTCTGGTAGGCGTCGTCCGACAATTTCAAATGGCCGACGACGCCTAGGACATAATTGTTGTGTCCTAGGCGTCGTCGGCCATTTGAAATTGTGTGTGAGAGTTGAAATGGAATCTCTCGCTATCACAAAAAGTAAGAGTATAAAATTACACCTGTATACATATTTATCTCTCAACCTCACTACTTACCTGTTATGCGAAGAGAGTTCGATACGCTGGAAATAGTTATAAGATCGAGCACAGGACAAAAAATACCATTCCAGTTTGGAACCGTGTGTATTAAACTACATTTCCGAAAATTATAATAATGAATTCTCTTCGTGATCATCATAAATGTCCATATGAAAATTATTATACACATCAAGCTGGTACCACTCCTGGTTACAGTTTCTATTACTTATTACTGAGATGGTATTAAGACGACACATCGAAAAAGTAGCTCCGGGCTATCGCCGTACTGATCCGAGTCAATACATAATTTCTATAAAAACTTAAAAGACGCCGTCATAAGGTCTACAATATTGCGTAGCGCCCGCGACGATTAAGACCGCTTAGAAATTTTCAGAATCTTAAAATATTTAAAAAAAAATATTATTTAAGTAATCAAAATAATGAGCAAGTAAATTATGAATATTGATGTTATGAATATATTTCAGTGACTCCCAAGCATATAGATTAAGTAATATCGTTGTAATTTCAACTAGTGATTTTTAGAGGTGTTTTCGCAAATAATTATGATCGAGTGAAAATTATACAATCATGTTTTTGAACAAGCAAATTCAAGATAGACATGAATTTACCTGTATCAAAATTCCACTTTCGTTAGTGGTGTCATAGTCCTATACTATTCGATGAAAGGAGGTGCATTTTTTGGCGGTGTCGCCTTAAGACAAGTAATTGTTCACTGCGCTGATCCGATGCGTGTTGGCGAACTTTTGATTTCTTTTAAATAAATTTTTAATTTCTCAGACATGCAGGTTTCCTTGCGATGTTTTCCTTCAACGCCGAGCACGTGGTAAATCAGCACTTAAAATACAATTGGTACCGGAGGAGATCAAACCTTGGTTGCTCGCGTACTGCGAAATTTATAGCGAGCGCTTAAAGTGCCTAATAATGTTACTCTAAGATAGTGCGATCTACCATCTGCGGCTTCATCTTCACCACCAGGTGGGATTATGGTCAAGCACTGGCCTATCATAAGTAAAAATAAAATACGTGTGGCACTCGGGGACTGCCGCGGTAAAGCTATTGCATAGCATTTTTATCAACTTATGCAATTATAATTATTTATTTATGCAGTATTTTTTTCTTTGATATTAATTCAAGTTTTTTTTTATATTAATTCAAGTTACACTTTTTGAGCGTGGTGACCGATAAGAAAACAATTTTTTTTCTTTTATTGAATAAGTGAGAAGTTAATATTGTTTAAAATATTTTTATTATCTTACAATAGATGTAGGTTATTCAGGAATTTTTATCATTGAAACTATAGGTTTATGGTAATTAACGAGTTCTTCCGACAAACGATAATTTTCTATAATGTCTGTGTTTATTAAATACTCTAAATTCACGAAAGTTGCTAGCATGACGACGATTCATATAAATCCAAAGAATATGCTTCTTGCAATAAATTATATTATTGTTTAAAATATTTTTATTATCTTACAATACAACATGCAACTAGTCTAGTCTACACGCATACGTCTAGTAGCACGCACACAACACCGTGCCGAACTCTGCCGTACTGAAACGATGTTAGGTTTTGGGGTATATTCTTTACGGAATTTCTTGATTCGGTCGCCGCGCTCAAAGCCCGCGATAAAAGCTATGCAATAGCTTAAAAAATGGATGACTTGTATTTCTAAAATGACTTGTATTTCTAAAATGAAGTTACTATTTACATTAGCGGAAGAGGCGAATGTATCGGAAGCTGGTGCCCGCGGGCTGGTGGGGCGCATGTTGGGCGCGGTGGCGGGCCGCGGCCGTGGCCTTACCGCGCGCTTCGCCCTCCCCCTCCCCCTCCCAGCGCTCTCCGCACAGGCCTGAACCAACACTACCCACCTGATAACTATGCTGCGTCGAATAACAAAGAATGCATCGCATACCAAAAAGCTTCCCACACAAGATAATTACAGACAAACATACTGCGTATAAATAAGAAGACTTTGCATCTCATTGCAAAATAACTGCGTCGCACGGTAGACTGTTTTGCGTCGCACGACGAAAACTTTACGTCGCACGATAATAATTACGACGAACTTTGCGTCGTGTTACATACTGTCACTAACTACTAACTTTAACAATCTTATAAATAGAAGAGGGTATCAATTTGCCTGTATTTTCTTTTTTAAAGTAAGAACTATTAGATTTATTAACAAATTTAAATGTGTTTATTGATTTATTAAATTATCATCATCAAATAAATTATAGCCTAAAAATAAAAGAGGCACAAACTATTTTATTCTTGAAAAATCGTATCTAAATAGAGCATGTATGTATGATCTAATTATAAGTTTGTATAAGAAATATGATAATTTGCATGACACCCATCCACAGCAATTCAAGCTGTCTAAAAGTTCCTTATCAATTTTAAAATTTATTGTTATTTTGTAGGTTCTCTTAAATGAAAATAATTTCCTGTATGAATTAGTTTTTACTTTAAGATATTTTTTATATTTAATGTTATTAAAAGATTTTTATGAATATAAAAAAAAATCAATGCCAATACGAAATATCCACGCGTTCTATATTGGCCGGGCAGAAGTTAGTCGCAAGTACTGCGAAAATATGGTACTGGGAGTGCTGGCGGTAACCATGACTCGAGATGCAAACACGTATATTGCCGGATTATGGTTCGATTATATTTTATATTTTTTGTGGTTAATTAATTGTATTGCTAATTTTTCCTTGGCGTGTCACAGTGTTACAGTACTATAATGCAGTGTGTTAATATCGTGTATGTACTATATACATACATCGAAACTTTTAATCGTATTCTTAAGATACTATGTTCTCATTGAAATACATGCAGATATTTTCATTCTAGACACAATTTTCAATTTATTCCATAATCGATTTAGACAAATAGTTTCCCTTAGCAATTTTAAGAGTGAATTTGAAGTGACACATCTCTATCAACGCCCCCAGTCAATGGTCGGTTCATGAGTAATTTTCACGAATAGCAAACCTGCCTGGCCAAAAGAACGCGTGGACTTTATATTTTTTTATATTATAAGCATCGAAGTTCCTTATTGGTTAGTAATTAAGAATTTAATGAAGTCTGATATTTATATTTTATACACAACAACCAAAGAAATTTGTTCAAGTTTCTTGATAGTTTTTATTGTATTGAGTCTTATCTAATATGAATTTTTGTTTGTAATCGAAATAAAAACAAATTGAAAAGTGCAATGCATTTTATTACGCAATATGCTCACAAAAAGCTAACCGTTTATAAATTTTTCACTATCAATATATTATATATATAATATTCACAAGTTTAATATATAGGTATCAACTATAAATCGCAACAGCTATATACAGATCAACAAAATGGAATCTTAACCCACCTATTTTGTCTAAACAGTTATGATCTTAAATTAGTGTGAGCAGGAATTACATGATTTTCCACCATCATACGACCAGCTGTTTGGCGGACTCTTCACACCTGCCGCCGATATTTCATTCGAACCAAAAGAGAAGGGAATAATTTGCAGGCCTCTGTCTTTCTATCTGAATACAATCCGGGCGTCTCCGAGGCAAAAGTGAAAAGATTTTCTTTACAAGAGGAATTACCATGTAGGGCTTATATAATAAGTACCAAAAAAAATATGATAAGAAGTAACTTCAACACGGGTTGGAAAATCTGTTAACTGTTCGATTTTAATTAAAACCTAACTTTAAAAGATATATTTTTATGGTAAATTAAATTATTATACATTAGAGTACGTAAATTTGTTATTGTAGCCTTTATTTAATATTCTTTATTTATTACATATTAATATGTCAAATGTGTGTCATACGAATTAGCGATCACATATATTGATTTATTTTATTTAGATTATCATGTTAGATTAACAAACGTATAAACGTATAGAGATTACACAAGTTGGTCGGGAAGATCCCTATAGCGAAAAGACCGCCTTATTGTATCTTCTTCCAAAATTTTTCTTTAGGTAACTTATTGTATATATTTGTGGTGTACAATAAAATATATATATCTACATACATTACAAAATTTAAATTTAGATTTATATGAATGTGTAAAAATAAGGCTTACTTAAGGTGGGTCGTGATTGAATTTTGTCCACTGTACATACAAAAGCCGCGAACTCTCATGCGGTAAGAGGAAAGATTTTTTACAGGATGAATTTTTTACCGTCTAGAAAAAAATAGGGTGTAGCAGGTGAACGGAATACTATTATGAAATTGATGTATCAGTAAATACTACTAATTGGGTGCGTACTAGTTTAATTTCGATGTCCGAAAAAAATTTTTTTTACCCGAAAGTTTATGTCAAACTTTAGTATTTATTGATATATCAATTAATAATATGTCAACGTAAAATATCAGTATAATAGGCTTCTATTCCGCTCACATTATACACCCTATTTTTTCCAGACGGTTAAAAATCACCTATTACGAGGGTAGGTTAAAAAAGTTGCGGAACGGCGGGATTGGCGAGGGTGAGTTTACTCATCCAGGTAGGCGCTAGTTGAGTGACTCCTTAGAAGTATGAGGTGTCTCAATCGGCCGGAAAGATCATGGCGACGAGCTTTTGGGACACAGAAGGTATCCTTTTGATTGATTAGGAACGTGGTGTTTCCATAACGGGAGAATACTACGCTTCTTTACAGATCAATTAAAAGAAGCTATTAAAGAAAAAAGGCGAGGAAAGCTTACAAAAGGCGTGCTCCTTTTGCACGACAATAAGCCCGTACACACAAGCCATGTTGCGCCGGCTGCCATTCACCGGTGCGGTTTTGATAAACTGCACCACCCACTCTACAGCCCAGGCCTGGCCCCAAGCGACTATCATATATTTCTAAAAATTAAGACAGAATTGCATGGGAAAAAATTTGGCGACGATGATAAAGTGAAGTCGGCAATTTCGGCCTATTTTGACGCCAGAGACAAATCTTTTTTTTAGATGGTATTAATAAGTTATTTGACAGATCTAATAAATGTATTAGGGTTAAGGGAAAATGCATTGAAAAAGAAAAATAGTTTAATATTTCATTGCATTATCCTTCCCTGTCATTCTACGAACTTTTTAACCTTCCCTCGAATATCACATTAGCTCCGATATATATTTATATATAAGGTCGAAAATTATAAGCATAATAAATTCAATAGTGTTCACCGAAATCAAAACAATAGACATACAATAAAAATGTATTCTCTAAAAATTTATTGTTTTTGAAAACCATTATAACTTTAATTATTATCAAGAGTTGATTTAAAACGTTCTATTTATAGTAATGAAATATATAGTAATAAATACATAGTTAATAATTGATATATTTAAAAACATTCAGAACTTTTCACTTGTAATCATTTTTAACTATTTCTTTTTCGAAATAGATGACAAATAGATTTTAAAGAGTATCCCTTCATTTAAGTCCGCTAGTACGAATCCCCCACTAAACAATTATTTGTACGGCTTACATGAAATAATTGTTCCAGGTTATACTTTTCAATGTAAAGTTTATGCAACATGAATAGATGAATTATCCTAATAAATAATGACTGAAATGTACGAAAAAAAATTAATTATCCGATTTGACTCAGGTATGAATCTGTAGCATACTTGAAGCAAATCATTCGATTTCATATGACAGTTATAATTTTCGACCACAATGTCTATACACAAAGAGTATTTACATAGACAAAAACTTCATAATAATGTCATAATCATCATAATCATAGATGATGAAAATTGAAGACACAACTATGACCATGCTGTAAAACTTGCCATAGCAAGTTTTACAACTTTACTAATACTCGCTAGATCAAGAAACTTTAGGCCTTAAATCTAGATAGAACATCTAATAGGCACACGTTCAAATACTGGCAACATTGCACATACTATATTACAAAAATTTCCGGAATCAAAGACTAGATTAAGGCGGGTGAGACTTCAGTCGAATTTAGAATTTGAATCCAAATAATATAATGTTTAATGGAAGTATAAATAAGGAAGGAATCGGGTTAGTTAATTTCACAACATTCCGTCAATTTTGGCACATTTCAAAACACTTCTAGCGATCTCAAATACAAAAGCTGCCTATATCGGTCTTTGTAAAACATGACGTTGGCGGATACAGTGCGGGTAGAAAGATTTTTTACATGTAACTCAAACAATTTCAAAAGGAACTGTCTTTTCTAAGCTTATTAATCGGCTTTACGTGTCGAGTATATTACCCAGATTTAAAAAATTGTGCGTATAATTGTGTACACACATAAGATGTGAAACTTTTTTATGACACATCATTCTTCTCTTTATTTATATTTTACATAAGTAGGTTAAATAATAGCATATACATGCAGCTCCGGCGATGAAACGTTATAAGAAAACGTGACTTATTTTAAATACTGTACTAAATTTCTCTACTAGGTCGATAAAGAAGTTTCACGTCAAAAACCAGACAGTGAAAAGGGATATTATTGCTCATAACTAAATTAACATGTAAAGTAGTATTCAAAAATAAACCAACTGTACAGAGAAGCATAAATTATAACTAGTGATCGGATAATCGGATGCATATTTACCTAAAGTTCATTTTTGGCTAGGAAATTGTGGAAGCTGCTTCTTAAAACATATTTTTTTTAATATAAATCCCTGGATTCCAGAAGATACGGGAACGCGAAAATAGTCTTTATTTAAAAAAAACAGGGGGATTACATAATTATTAATGTGTATTTACTTGAAATTAATTTTAAACTCCCAATTAATTTATGTTGAGTGTAAGAGGATTAGTAGGTAGTGGGTGTAAAAAAAAATAAGAGAAAGTTATTATTTCTAGTTATTTTAATATAAAAGGTTAAAATAAGTAAATATACCTACTAAAAATATGTATTTTTACTACCTATACCCGATTTGGCATTCTATAATAAATTAAAGTAAATTTGTCGATTTCGAAATCCCGGGATTTTTTCGATACAAAAGTGAAGTGCATTCCGTAATAGCCAACACCTACACTTTAGGTAAATATGCATCCGATTATCCGATCACTAATTATAACCTAAAACTCTGTATCGTGTGTAAAAATCGAGACAAAAAAGCTTCTAGACCACACTACTTATATACTTTAGACAAGCAGGTTAGAAACTGGCCTATGACGTCGAGTGAACAGTTATCAAAATGATCACAGTGGAGAAATTAATGACTAAATAAATATTAGTGTACAAAATCTTGTGTTTTGTACGAAGGCTGAGTGAGCCAATATAATCACCAGCTATTATGCATTCCATTTAGGTACGAGGAATAAGAATGAATCTATATATTTACTGTCTGATTTTTGGTGAAATATCACCTTGTACTAAATGTACTACTTCGGGAAATGTTAATGATATTTTATAAACTACTAGCTTGCCAGGCAGACGTTGTTCTGCCCTTTTCGACGACCCTTTGTCATGTTCTATTAAAAATCCTTAAATTCGCAAAAAAAAAATTGTGGGTCACTCATGGACAAAAAACTATCCTATCTCTCAAGTTGGACCAAACTGCATACGGTGTGCAAATTTTATTAAAATCGGTTAAGTAGTTTAGAAGTCCATTGCGGACAAACAACGTGACACGTAATTTTTATATATTAAGATGAAAATTATTCATGTATTTCAAATGTCGATACCGCAAAACGCATTAGCAGCCGCCAACAAACATGTCTATTTTTAATATTTTACAAAAATCTGTTTACTTCGAACAACAACACAGTATTCCCAGTGTACGTATTGTAAAAATGTGTGCGCTTACTATACTAATACTCAATTTACAAGGCCCTACGCAAAATACATGGTTAAAATTATATAAACTATAAAACTAACTGCAAGAATACTATCTCGTTGTTCAAAGTTTTAAATCTAGAAGTATAAACTTACAAATAAACAACTTTACATATAAATTACAATATTGAACTACTGTTATTATATAAAGTTATAAAATGGCACTAAATATTACAATCTACTTTACAACTGTGTGCCGTGCATCTATAGTACTTCCTATTTCGTGTTCGTTGTTACGCATTTTTCATCTGTACGTGTGTATATAAAACGTAATTAAAGATCTATAAAGTCAAGCAATATCCTACAAAAAAGATTAAAAACAATAAGTCTTTAAATTTGTATGCAGTCAATTTAATACTGCTTTTGAACACAATTTTGCCCTAATTAAGTTTATTGATAATGTCACCACCATTAATTACATTTTTTTTGTAGATTTTTGTTCGTTTTAAGTACAAAGAAAAAAAACTTATTTTCAACTCTCAGAAAACAGAATTTTCATTAATTACATTAAAAATATAATGCTGTAACTTTGACAATAAAAAAATATTCAAAAAAATGTCATTGCCTTTTTAATACCACGTGACTTTTCTCGTATTGTCAACATTTAATATTGTCATATTCCTAGGTGCCTGGTAGAATCCTATACAGTGTGACATCGGGTTCCATACAATAAATGATACTTAGTTAAGCCACAGGAATTACATTCTGTTTTAGGACTTTTTAAACACGATGTATATAAATCACTTGGCGAAGGTTATTAAAGTCAACAATGTGCTAATAAATAAAGGAAGTGTCTTTGCCGCTCTAAAAAATAAGTATAATTTCCAATAATTTACGATTTAAAATAATATATTTATTTACTCCAATTTAACAAACTATAAAAAGTAGCAATAACTGAGTTTTCATGTATACCCGCAACAGCCTGTGTATAGGGTACAGTGTAATATATAATAACTTTACTATTATGCAATTAGTTTAAAGGTCACTACTCTTCTACTCAAATGGACACGAAAATAGATCTACAAATATTTGATAGTATTTGCAATTGTCTATACAAAGTTTTGACAACATTTGTAATATGGCGAGCTGTATCGGGCACAACTCGTTTATTGGCATTGCAACATTAGCAGCATAAAATACACATTATATTAAATGAGAAGGATCTGAGACGAGGTCCTTCACTGCTGCTTTTCCAAAGCTAAATTTCTTATGCAAAATTTCGTCATTTCTGTTACATGTACACAACAGATCCAAAAATGTAAGTGACCGGCAGTAATTAATTGTCGTTCATTATTTATTATAAAGGAGCAAGAATCAGAACGAAACGAAATGAAATGAAATTTTTATAAAGTAACGAGTATTCGCATATAATATAAACATATATATGATATGCAAATATATATTCTAATTTAAAGTGTTTATAACATATTGTGTTTGGATTAAACCTTACTACTCTGTGTAAAAAGTATCGGGAATATGTCAATAAAAAGACCCGCGTAAAAGAGGTCGTTCTAATTTTTTTACTGCATGTTAGTAGCACTGTACTGATTTAGCGCGCAAAGTTTGAGCGGGATCTGTCATTTAATTTGTTTTAAATTACACTTTTTGTTGGTCATAGTTTTGAGTTCTCGGCGATTTTTACAATGGAAAATATTGCTGAACAAAGAGTGTGCCTTAAATTTTGTGTTTCGAATGATATTTCATGTGGTGAATCACTAAAAATGTTGCGAAATACCTACGGCGAATCGTGTATATCGAAAACAAGGGCTTATGAATGGTATAAGGCTTTTAAAGAAGGCCGAGAAGTAGTAGTAGACTTGCCTCGTTCTGGTAGACCTTCAACCGCTACGACCAAAGAAAACATCGACAAAATCAAGAAGCTAGTGCTCGAAAATCGACGTACGAGTCTGAGAGTTGGCTAGTGAGGTGAACATATCTTTTAAGTCCGTCCACAACATTCTCATTGACATTTTAGGCATGAAACGCGTCGCCGCTCGACTAGTTCCAAAAGAGCTCAATTATGTTCAAAGAGCGCAGCGAAAGCATGTCGCTGAAGACATGGTTTCCCGAGCTTCTACGGATCCGACCTTTATGAAACGTATAATAACTGGCGACGAGACATGGGTTTATGAGTACGACATGCAAACAAGCCAACAGTCTTCAGAATGGCGTCTCGAAAACGAGCCGAAACCCAAAAAACCGCGGCAAAGTCGCTCCAAAATCAAGGTGATGCTGACAGTTTTTTTTGACTACCGTGGTGTGGTTCACTCCGAATTCCTTCCAAAGGGAGAAACAGTGAATAAAGAATATTATTTAGGCGTCATGAAGCGTTTGCGTGAGAGTATCCGCCGAAAACGTCCAGATTTGTGGCAACACAACTCATGGATGCTGCACCATGATTATGCACCATCACACACAGCCATTATAGTGAAAGAGTTTTTAGCGAAAAATTCAACAAAAGTTCTCGACCAAGCACCGTATTCACCTGATATGGCTCCGTCCGACTTTTTTTTATTTCCCAAGTTAAAATGACCACTTTGAGGAAAACGTTTTGAGTCGATAGAAGCCATAACAAAAAATTCGCTGAATGAGCTAAAGGCCATACCGCAAATAGTCTATGAAAAATGTATGGAAGACTGGGTGAAGCGTTGGAGATGTTGTATTGCAAGCGATGGGGCCTACTTTGAAGGCGATAAAATAAATTTAGATGAATAATTTGTATTTTTTGTTTTATTGACAAATTCCCGATATTTAGTACATAGAAGGTATATAAAATTATATTTAAGATTTTAACGTTTTATTTGAAATCATTTTCACTTTTTTGTGAGTCCTTAATATTGTCGGTCCAAATACTGTTTTAGTTTCATACCGCAAAACTATTCTACACTGTAGTCTCTCCTCTATGCACGACATCTGACATCGCCTCACTAACACAACTGTCACTGTCATTAGGTTTCAAAGTGACGTCACTGTTCACTGTCACATCAAGTCCGTGGTCCTTCCTTGGCATCCTGTCTTTGTCTCTGCTTGTTATCTGAGTGTATAGTTCATCTAAATCACTGCTAAAAGAAACCGGACTGGGCTCCCTATTCACTTCTGGACAGCTTAAAGCCGGCGTTGGAACATATTTGCCGAGTTTCGGATTGTTCTTTATAGTTTTACGCCATCCTGGATCATAGTTGACGTATTGACTCTCAATATTAGACACGTCTTCGTTGCTGAAACTTATTTCGTTTGGACACATTGAAGACGGAGAAGGGGCGTATAGTCCGTGACTTCGTATACTAACTTCGGACATTTGGTAATTGGGACAGTAAATATCGCTTTCGTTTTCGAAGCCTTGCTCACTGGCGTTAGTGCTACACGTCTCAAAATCGTAAGTCGTTTTGGCCAAAAAGAACGCTTCTTTGTCATCGTCAATCTTCTCCTTCGATCCTTCAATGTCTGGATTTTGCAGCAGATTGTCCATTTCTCCTTCCGGCTCTTCTAAATGTGGAGTGGTTGATCGGTGGATATCGTCACTGTTCATAGTGCATTCTTCTGATATATCTTGAAGGGATTTATCTAAGGCATTATCTTTTGTTTCTTGTGTTTTAGTTGGTTGTAAATAGTCTATGTATTGTCCAAAGCTTTCCGTGTCAGTAATTTCGTTTGTGGAACATAAGGCACTGTGCGTCTCTTGGAGAGAGTTCATTTCCGAATGTGTATTGAGGGTCTGATCGGAACAAGTGTGTGGCATAGCTATTTCTGACGCAGAACTATATTCTAAACTGCACTGCTGTGAAACTGTCCGCATTTCGGGTTGTTCACTCGCATGACTTTGAAGGCATTCCTCCGAAACGCTACTCCTATGCCCGTTGAGGGTCTTAGGCACGTTTGATTTCATAATTTGATGCTGTGGCACTTGCGTTTCGGGGACGTTAGTATAAATATTCATTATTTGCGCTCTGGATTTGGGATCGTCGTTTTTGCTCCATGATTTTTTATCAGTCGTGTAATTTTTAAAGTTTTCTCTCGGTTCCTCTTCTAACAAATTGGGATTGGTTACATTACGCGTTTCTTTTATACCGTTATTTGTTCTTTCTACGTGCAAATTTGTATTGTTAACTTTAGATCCGGCGTTTATTATGTTCGCGACGCCACTATATGCTTCTTTTGTGGCGAGTGGTAACGATATTATGTGGGAGTCGTTATCACAGTCCCTTCTCATTGGTAGTTCTAGGCAATTTCTTTTCATATGTTGCCTCTGTTTCTTGAAAAATTTCTTCGCCACGTTCATTTGATTGGGGTTGTAGAACACTTCTGGACCCACGTTCGCTGGTTCTGGATAAGTCATCATTGAATTGTTCGACCTATACTGCTGCCGATGGAGTACCACAAGGTTTATGTTGGGGGTCTTTCCATTCGTATTTTTCAACAAATCCTTTTGAAGAGTTTGCCCGTTTAGTTCCGCGCCAGCTTTGTAAGTGCCACTGTTGTTAGTTTTGGAATTGGTTCTGTTCGAGCTTCTACTATCCGACCGGGATCTATTGTCGTTTGGGATTGGCATGGGTGCAGTATTACTTTGATTTGTCTGCAGATTTTGTTGGTTCGCGTCAAAGACGCTTCTGTTTCTGCAGCACTGTTTACTTTTCTGAAAATAGCAGTGTAACAGGGACCATTGCGACCTGACGTCACTTCTAGCGATTCCGTAAAAGAATAAAATGAAGGTCCCTAATACAGTCGCGCATACCGCATATATAATACTACAAATATCTTCTTGATAAGGTAAATAGGCAGGCAGAGGCCTGTACACTGCAATAGCGCCACAAGTCCATACAGACATGTATAGACAGAGCACTATAACTTGTGCTCGGAGCTGTATTATTGGTGTGTGCTCAATATCTTCCACTTCGGAATCCATAGCAGACTTTGTGCTACGCCTTTCAGCTCCTTCGTTCCCTTGATTCGGTTCTAACATTTCCAGGTCCAAATTTTCGGTCGCTTGCGTCCCTTCGGAAAGCTGCACATTCATATTTCTGATCGTACACCGTATCAAAAGGAACAAAATTAACAAAAACAGAAGCATTATCCCACCAGGAATAAATAAAGCGCTTAAAGCCGGCGCTGTGCTCAGAAAACACTGAGAATAACCCGCGTAGTCCTTCAGATTAACAGCGCCCGATATGCCACAGACAATCAACGCAATCCCCCACCCGACCAGGTACAATCCTAAAATTGGCTTTTGGATGGGCACATCCGGTGGAATCTCATCTTCGGGAGTCCTGACGGGGTTGTGGGTCTTAGTAACCCACTTATACATGTTACTTGCGGATACACACATCCAGAGGAGACAACAAAGCGACAAATAATGTATCAGCAGACCCAAAATCTGACAAAGTTTTACATCCTCAGTCTGGTATATACCCAGGGTGTACAAGAAGCAGAGCAATCCCACCGCTATCCACGTGTTAATAAGGGCGTGTTTTGTTTTCTTCGCCATTTGTATGGCGGGGTAGCACATGATGTATGTAAGTGTGGCACAGCTGACGCATCCTATTAATATCAAACTACCCACGTAAATAGCGGGGTGGGAAACCTTGAACCTTGCGCCATCGGTTCGTGCCCCATATATGCCAGTTTCGACATTTTGTAATAGTCCTACGTATGCCAATCGGGTGCAACTTATAATTATCATCTCTGACACCACATGAGACACTTTGCAATCTGAAAGCAGAAAACATGTCTCAATTATATATCACGTTTGTGATTAAAATGAAAGAAATATACAAAAGGAAGGAGAAAAAGTTTTTTCGTATTTTATATACAAATTCAAGCCATTTTTTTTTAAAGTTTAATTACATTTAGTTATAATATTTATGTGCCATTTTGTTCGATAACTTATTGCCATCTCGTAGATAGTGACATAATCTTGTTGCTATAAAAATCTTGGGATTATTGATTTAAAAAAAGCAACAAGTAGTTTTGATAGCCCTCTCTTGATATTAACCTATCAGTACCCAATGAATTCTGAAGAGACTGAAACAGGTGAAAATCTGAGGGTGAAAGGTCGGGAATATATGGTGGATGCATTAACACTTCATAACCAAGCTCTCTCAATTTTTGCTGAGTAGCCAAATATGTGTATGGTCTGGCGTTAACAGGATGAAAGACCACTCCTTTTCTGTTGATCAATTCCGGTCGTTTTTTCTAATTTCTTGCTTGAGTCTTATCAGTGGCAGAGATTCAAATCGGTGGTTTTGCCCGGCTGTAAAAGCTTATAATAAACGATGCCCTTCCAATTACACCATACACACAGCATAACTTAACTGCGTATTAATCCGAGTTTCGTTACAGTCTATGGAGCTTGACCAAACTTTAGCCATGCTCTTTTTCACACGTTCTTGTCTTAAATGATCCACTTTTCATCACCAGTGATCAATCTTTTCAAGAATGGTTCGGTTTCATTACGTTTCAATAGAGGATCGCAAATAAGTACACGATTCACTAGGTTTATTTCAGTGAGCTCGTGTGGTACCCAAATATCGAGCTTTTTTGTATAGATGATGGGTCTCAATTCCTCGGTTATGTCGTAACTATTAATATGCCGATCTTGCTCCACTTTTTCAAAAATAGCATCGACTTTATCTGTATGAGGGCGACCAGAGTGAGTTGAATCTTTGACATCAAAATTCCCGAACCGAAAACGCTTGAAACAACTTTTTGCTACTCTTACTGATACTGGTTTAGGTCAAAAACGTCACAAATTTTTTTCGCGATGTGAGTATCATTTCTCCATTTTTGTAATAAAACTTCAGAATTTATCGAATTTCTTCGCTAGAAGCACTCATTTTGGCGTACAGAAAAACAATTGAAAATGGCGGGAAAGATATTTCTACGTTTTCTTTTTCTTAATATTTTATATTCGTATGTGTTGATATTAAAACTAGCCAAATACAAACAGTACAACCAAAGGTATTTTTTTTAAGTTTGTACAAACAAAATACGAAGAAACTTTTCCCCGAACTATTTTTTACAGTAGAAATTGTATCTAAAAGCAGGTTTTCACAAAGAGCGACACGGCCCACCGACGGATCGGTGGAAAGTAGCGAAATATACGCAGGCGTTCACCTATGTCAAAGTATAAGTCCACGCGATCCTATGTGTTTAATAAAACTAGTTGCAGCCGCACTGCTCACTAGACTAAATCTAGTTGTGCGGCTGAATCCACGTTCTACAAAAATGCCGAATTGTTCAGGTTTTTACCGCACAAAAAGAGATCTACCACGTCAAATTTACGAAAAGATTGCATTACCTTTCATACGTAAGTATTTTTTAATCATAACATAAACATAAACACTCACGCCTGTCACCCAGAGGGGTAGGCAGAGACTACAGACTTCCATTTGGCACGATCCTGACACACCTCTCTCGCCTCCTTCACATCCATACATCTACGCATGCATGCTCGTCGGTTAAGGGTACTCCTAATTTGGCCCGTTTTCAATAAATCGCCAATTTGGTCGATAAATTTTCGCCTAGGACGTCCCTTTCCGACTCTGCCATTCACTTCTGCAACATAAATTTTCTTTGTCACTCTTTCCTCATCCATTCTTTCCACATGACCAAACCACCGAAGCATTCCTTTCTTAATCCTGGTCACAACATCATCTTGCAAACCACACTCTTCTCTTATCACACAATTCTTCACCCTGTCATTCAGATTCAGCCCTAACATACTCCTTAACGACCGCATTTCTACTGCATTTATTCTACTCTCGTGCTTCTTCTGCCACACCCAACTTTCACTACCATACGTTAAAGTAGGGACCAACACAGCATTGTGAATTGCCATACGTGCCTTTTTTGACACATTTTGACTCTTCACAATAGAGTGCAGGGCCCCATTTACTCTGTTTCCTGCGTTCACTCGTCGTTCTATATCCTTATCATATCTCCCATCCCTGCTAAATACGCAACCCAAATATACAAACTCATCTACTTGCTCGATCAACTCCCCTTCTATTCTTATTTCACATATCGTTTTACTTTCTTCTCTTTCAAAAACCATAATTTTCGTCTTACTTGCGTTCACTTTCATACCCCTTTCTTTTAATGATCTGTTCATTAATGTAACCATCATTTGCAACTCGGCCGCCGACGACGCAAGAATAACTTGATCATCAGCGTACAAAAGGCATTTGATGGTTAACTCACCCATTCTTAATCCGCATTCTTCAACTTTCAAATTTTGCAAACAACTGTCCATAAATAGGTTGAACAGCCACGGGGAAGCCACACAGCCCTGTCTGACACCTTTATGGATGCCAAACCAGTCGGAGTAGACCCCGTTGATCCTAACACAAGCACTAGAGTCCCTATAAAGAGATTCCAAAGCCTGTATCAAGCCAGCGCTCAACCCAAATGAGTTCAGTGTTTGCCATAGCACATTCCTATCCACTCTGTCATAGGCCTTCTCCAAGTCCATGAACGCACAAAAAACCTTTTGGTTTTTGGCCAAAAACTTCTCCGCGATCATGCGCATGGAGAAGACTTGATCTGTACATCCCATTCCCTTTCTAAATCCCGCTTGCACATCCCAAATTTTTCCATCGGTTTCTTTCATGACCCTTTCAATTAGTACCTTGGCATACAATTTTCCCACGATGCTAAGAAGGCTGATACCGCGGTAGTTTTTACTGTCCTGCTGCGACCCTTTTCCCTTATATAGTAAATTTTTAATCACATTATTGATTAAAATTTACAATAATAACGGTGCGCCTTCGGATTTGTTTACCAACACAGGCCGCCTGCCGTCGCTGTCACTGAGCGATATACGGTTATGATGCATCTATGTGTGTGCGATTTTTTTATTATATTATTATTTTAATTGCTATGTGTGAGTTTCGTAGTGACAGACGATTGTTTTTGTGTACGCAGATTTCCCCCGCAAAAAATGGCAGACAGTTCTGTATCGGGGAAAACGCCATGGCTACGCCCCGCCGGTGGCCCGTGTTGCTCTATAGACTAACTATCTAAGGAACCATAAACAACTTAAGTTCCTCTTATTTGAGAAATACATACATAAAAATTTGACATGTAAATTAAGTATCCAAATTTGAAAATATAGATTTTGTTATGCTGTATTACGAAGGAGCACTGCGATGAAAACCAAATAAATCTATATTTCTAAAATAAATCCATTGCACATTCTTACCAGAAGTATTGTCCCTCCAACGTCTGGTGGTAGCGTCCCACACGGCAGCTCGACCGTCAACTCCCCCGGAAGCTCCGGCTCGTACTGTCGCTATCACTGGCTCCAATAGTTCCCCGTGGAGTTGGCTCTGACCTGGCAAGAAATGGAATCTATTATTAACAGCCAGCTCATGCGGTACCTTGAGGATCACCAGCTGATTAGTTACCGCTAATACGGTTTCCGTCGCGGTCGCTCGGCAGGTGATCTAGGTGACCTAACTCATAAATGGGCGAAGACAGTAGAGTCCAAGAGGGAGTCGTTGGCCGTTAGTTTGGACATAGCGAAGGCCTTCGATCGGGTTTTGGACAAAGCGCTTTTTACGAAGCTTCCTTCCTATGCGCTTCCGGAGAAATTGTGCCATTGGATCACCAGTTTTCTTGCTGATCGGAGCATCAGGGTCGTAGTGGACGGTGCATGCTCCGATTACAAGCCTATTAACGCTGGTGTTCCACAAGGCTGCGTGCTATCACCAACGCTGTTTCTTCTGCATATCGATGACATGTTGCAAATCGGTAGCATTCTATGCAGACAACAGTACTGGTGATGCTTTATACAACGGCCGTGCCAATATTTCTCGGGAAAACGTCGCCGAGTACCGAGACAAACTTGTGTCTGAAGTCGAGTCTTTGCTTAACGAAGTTTCGGATTGGGGGCGACTAAATCTAGTCCAGTTTAATCCCCAGAAGTCACAAGTTTGCGCGTTTACCGCTTAAAAAAACCCTTCGTCGTATCTCCTCAGTTTCAAGGAACTCCCCTTTTTGCCTCCGCCAGTATTGGAATCCTCGGCATCGACATATCAAGTGACGTGCAGTTTCGTGGTCACTTGGAAGAGAAGGCCAAATTGGCCTCTAAAAAGCTTGGCGTGCTCAGCAGAGCGGGACAGTATTTCATGTTGGCTCACCGCCTGCAATTTACAAGGCGCAGGTTCAGCCGCACATGGAATACTGTTCCCATCTCTGGGCCGGGGCTCCCCAGTGCCAGCTCCTTCCATTTGATCGCATCCAGCGCAGAGCAGTTCGAATCGTCGGCGACCGAGCTTTTTCCGATCAGCTTGACTCACTGGCACTGCGACGAGATGTTGCATCTCTGCGTATTTTATCGCATCTACCACGGGGAGTGCTTTGAGGAATTGTTCGGACTAATTCCAGCCGCACAATTTCACCATCGCACATCGCGAGAAAACTCGCGATACCATTCATACCATCTGGATGACTGGCGATCCACCACTAAGCTATTTAAAAGAAAATTGATAAAATCAGGCGTTACATTGCGGAAATCCATTATAATAAAGATATTAATTAATTTGCAACCATCCGCTAAATAAATACAATGATGTGCCTTACCTGGATTGAAGAGCACCTCCCGCCCTCCCTCAAATACATGCACCAATCTCGTCACCACTAGTTCCAGCACCACTACTCCCAGCACCACTACTCCCGGCACCAATATTCTAGGAAAGACACCATCGACGATAATACGACACGTGTTTCGCCTCTACACGAGGCATCTTCAGGTAATGTAGACTCTACGGCGGCTGACCGCTAAGTAGACCGTAGAGTCTACATTACCTGAAGATGCCTCGTGTAAAGGCGAAACACGTGTCGTGTTACCGTCGATGGTGTGTCTTTCTTAGAATAGTGGTGACGGGATTGGTGCACGCAATTGAGGGAGGGTGGGAGGTGCTCTTCAAACTAGGTAAGACACATCATTTAATTGAGCGGAAGGTTGCAAAGTAACTATTAATATTTTTGTAGAAAATTTTTTATTCTACCACTTGTCATTCATGTATTCCTTGATATTATAATAACCATTTTGTACAATTTTTCTTCTATAAAATTTTTAAAATAGTATAATGAACATTTTCTGCGATTTTGTAGTATACATTCTCTCCATAAATGAATTACTAATCCTGTGTAATCTAGAAACTGGCATTACAAGCTTATGTTTGTTCCCAGTATAAACATATGAAGTATGAATATCTTTATTCTTATAAAATCTATTCATGTTTATGTACATACATTACATTTTCATAAAAATATATCTCGTTGGAAAAAATTAATATCTTAATTTCATAGTGCTTTCTTATATTTACGCAACACTACACGGTTAAATAAAACTAGTTTTTACGGATTTTATCGCATATATTAAGTACTCGAAACGTCGGGAATATAAAATAAGTTAATATACACGATAAATCCGTAAAAACTAGTTTCATTTAAATCAAAATTTCACTTACTAAGCTGAAATCCGACAACAGGCGAAGTGATCTCCATATTCATATCCTCTCTTTTAGTGCTCCTGCCGTAATAATCTTTGGACCTATGACCTCGCTGCGCTCCATCATTCTCTAGTTCCGGCAGCAGAGGGAAGAGAGAGGCATCATCGTATACTGCCACAACCAGATCCTGCGGCTTCGTTTGGAGTAATATACCAGATTCCGTAGTGCTGTATAGAAGGGATTGAGGAATCTATAAAAACAAATACCCTAGTTAGTTCATTTCCATCTGCGCTAAGTCAAGAGCTAAGGCTGGTTTAGAAACTATTTCGAGTTCTTTTTTTTTATAGGATAGGGTGACAATTGAGCACACAGTCCATCTGATGGTAAGTAGTTACTGCGACCCATAGACATCTACATCTATCCTCGATTACGAATCAAAATGCAGATGCGTTGTCACCCTTGAGGACTAAGATGGAATGCCTCGTTTCCAGTAAAAGGGTCTCCGGACTCTACACTCACCATACAACACAGCAGCCCTTAAGCTACTATTTCACGCTGGTATTCCGTGGTCTGTGGTCCTTACCCGGTCAAGCCGACCCATTCGTGCTACAACTATAGTACTAATATAACTGCAGCATGGCTCTACCACATATAAAAGAGTTTAAACTCATTCGCAATCTCAAAATCTATGCATTTTTTATATATAAGAGAGGGCAAACGAGCATATGGCTCACCTGATGGTAAGAAGCTACCGCCGCCCAAGAACAACTGCCACACCGGGGGACTTTCAGATGCATTACCGGCCTTTATACATAGAGACACTCATAGGAAATTTTGGTGTTTGCGTCTAAACTCAAAATTGTCGCTGAATACCGAACTACGAAATGGTGGTGCAGTGCAGGCGCGGCGGCCCGCCCGCGCTGTACCACACGCACGTCACGTGCTGGTGGTGGTGGTGCACACTGACCTGCACGCTGGCGTGTACGAGCGAGGACGGAGGGCGCGCACATCCTACGTGTGTACGGGCTGGCGCTGACGATGAGCAGCGGCGCAACGGTGCGGTTGGTGGTGGAGCAGTGAGGCGCGGCGGCCCGCCCGCGCTGTACCACACGCACGTGACGTGCTGGTGGTGGTGGTGCACACTGACCTGCACGCTGGCGTGTATAAGCGCGGCGCTGACGGTGAGCAGCGGCGCAACGGTGCGGTTGGTGGTGGAGCAGTGAGGCGCGGCGGCCCGCCCGCACTGTACCACACGCACGTCACGCCGCTGAAGCCCTCGCGCACCGGGAACCGCTCCACCGCCAACTTCACCTAACCACACCCAAATATCATTCAACCCTTTTTCACGTGAAAACATAGACTTCTATGTACTACTGTACTGTTGCGCGTCATAATTAATGTTTGGTACATGGAAACATTAGTTACTACTAGCGTATCGAGTAGCAGAACTAGGATAGTCAAGATCCTAGAGATTTCCATGCCAGAACTTTCTACACCTAGTCAGTTGGGACCGGTATGTATTCGAACATTCTAGACATTTCAGTAGAAGAGGCGCCACATAAGGCCGGTATCTACCGCGACCCTAGCCAGTTTTGAATTGGCAATACAAGCGAATACTTCGAAGCGATTTAACCACTAACTAAAATGATCAGTAGTACAATTGTGTTTTATTATTTGTGCGTTTTATTATAATAATATTGTAATTGATGTTCGGTAATTAATGTGTCAATTTTGGTAATTCAATCGGCAGTTTTTATTGTCACGAACCCCAAACTCGTAACAGTAATTATATACATCGCGCCCTAAATTATGGTCGATTTCCGTAACGCCCTTAGTCGACGGCAAGCGGGCGAGATCTTCGTTTTGTAAACCGAGAACGTTGTTTCCGACAAAATAGCACCGATTTTGTTGAATGTGATTAAGAGAACTTTGACATTACACCACAATGTGCTGAAAATGAATCTGTTCTAGATGTACTGAAAGAAATGCGTTACGGAACCACAAGCGCTGTTGAAAAAAGAGAAAGAGAAAAATAGAAGTAGAACCTGGAAAGCGTGCAAGTGTTGAAGAAAATTACGTTGAAACTGAAGCTGAAAACAGAGAACCAAAGAAAAAACAATTTAGTAAAAGACGCCATATCAGTTGGTGCCTTGAAATTAAGTCAAGCATCAAATTACCAATTTTCTCAAATGCTGCAACAGGTAATAGGCAGAACGTCATCGAAAAATCAAAAAATCAACCAAAGAAGCTTAATTACTATAAGAATGATGAGGAAATTATTTATGAATTGATGAAGGATTAGGCAATGTAGCGAATCTTGTGTTTTGAGTGCAATTAATGTTTAAATGTTGTTATTAGATAAAAACATTAGTTAGTTAGTAGATAAGTTAATATTTTTTCTTATTAACTTTTTGAAAGCTGTTAACTGGATCCTTCCGTTGCTACTGAACACTAAAGCATGTGATTGCTTATAGTTTTTGAGGGCTTTCATCCATGTGAAGTAGTTTTATAGTCGTGGATTTCATGTTTGTAAAAAATTAAAAAAAATATTGTTTAATGTTTGTTCTTAGATTGTTCTCAAGTTAAACCTTGTTCTTTAACAATATATTATTAAGAAATTTCGTTAAAAGTTTATTTTTCAATTATTTCACTTGATTTTTTTTATATCCCGTCCCATTCCCCTAGTAAAATGGTGTTGGTACCTGTTAATATTAAGTATGTTAACAGGTACCAACCTTTCGTAACCAAATAAGTAGATACCTAAGCCATTGTTTATTTTACATTATAATTTCTTTGGGTTTTCTTATTTTCTATTTAAGATTTGGCTTTTGAAATTAAATGCTTTATTTAAGTTTAAGGATTCAAGGAACTCTCCAAGTATACTGGGTGACTTTTTTTTTACCATCTGGAAAATAATATGATGTTTAGTGTAAGTAGAATAGAAGCTATCCTCGAAAGCATTTGTAAAATATAACCAATAGGCAAAATTTCTGAATATCCAACAAAATACATAAAAACGATAATTCACCATACATCATTTGCTTAAAACCACAGAATAAATAATAGTATAAGAACAGAAGGATCGCTCTCTGATAGCAAACTTGCGAGTTTAAACCTAGTCACAACGTCGCTAATGTTCGTAATACTTTGCAAGCCTCGGAGGCGACCCTCGTGAAATTAGCCTATAGTAATTGTTTTATTTCTATATTTATTATATTTCTAACCCTAGATGTTTTCCATTTAGTAAACACATCATCTCTTATTTTACACATATTTATGATGTCTTTATTTATCATATTCTCTTTATTTCGTTTGCTATTTTGTTGTTTTCGTACGAAATTATGTTTATAAATTCATCTCGGGTCTAACGTGGGCGATCACACCAAGATAAACTACAGGACTACACTCGGCATCATACAAGCGCTCGCTCAACTCATTTTTTTACATAATTTTTGTTCTCCCTACTTTAAACAATATCATTTAATATACCAAACTACAAATTCTTAACCAGTGCTTGACTGCTCCCACCTGAATGTAAGTGGCAATGCAGCCGAAGATGATACAGCACACTGACTTAGCTTAACAAAAACCAAAACCTATACAATATTGCCTTGCAGAATAGAATAATGCGGACACATTATAATCGGATGGAAAGACAAATGCCGGTAAACTATTCAACTCATTTGCTATACGCATTATGAACAACAAAACAAAACGTTTGATTCAAATAAATATGTATATTGAGAACAAATGGGTGATGACCAGCCGAGCGTCTAGTGGTCTTCTTGTGTTGTGGTTGAAGTAATAAAATTCAGCCACTGTCACGAAATGTTATTTCTCACAAGTATCCATTCATCATCATCTAATAAATCGAGGCTGCCACTCAAGGACATTTCTTCCCCATCGCTTGTCGGTTTATCTAACTATATTTAACAGTATTCTACCCATCTAAAATTTATCACGACGTATTTCCTACCTTATGCCCCTGTACATTGTTAGTATACGCGGAGATCTCTTCAGCGGCGCGCACCATGTCCGTGCAGGCTCCATACTGTGTCTCCGCCTTGGTCATTACTGAATGTGTTATGTTCATTGCAGAGCTAATAACATCCAATAGTGATGCACCTGCAATCAAGGAAATTAACAGTTGTATTCTTGTTTTTGAACTTTATCACGTTATTCTCTGCCTAAGTTTAAATAGCGAAAGAGAACTATATGTCTCTCACTACAGTACATCAGAAGTCTGCTACTGAACATAGACCTACCCAAAAGCTTTCCACAGAGTATTTTTTTTTCTTGTAGCGTTTTATATGGTAGAAGTGCTGCAGTTATATTAGTAGTATAGTTGTAGCACGAATGGGTCGGCTCGACCGGAGAGGGACCACGCTCTCGCAGAATACCAGCGTCAAATAGTAGCTTAATGCTACTGTGTTTTGTATGGTGAGTGTAGAGAACCGGGGACACTTTTTACTGGAAACGAGGCATTCCATCTTAGTCCTCACGGGTGACAACGCATCTGCATTTTGATTCGTAATCGAGTATAGATGTAGATGTCTATGGGCCACAGCAACCCCTTACCATCAGGTGGACTGTGTGCTCGTTTGTCATCCTATCCTATTAAAAAATATATATATTTCTAAGCAATCTGCTTCTATGAATTGGCTAGTTGCTTATCAGATCACTATTCTAATTAATGGTGATGCGTCTTTCTAGCACATGCTAATATTAGGATGCCACTCAAGGACCATTCTTCCATATCCATTGTAGGATTTTCTATATAGCTGACCCATTACCACTTCAGCTTACTGATCAGTTTTTCGTCTTCTTCATTATCAATCCATAAAATCTACTGCTGGACACGGACCTCTCCTCTCCTGGATTTGCCTCAATCGTCCTGCATAGCAAGCAGATTCCCAGTTAACCACAATTCCACGGTGCGCAGTAGCTACTTACCATCAGATCAACTATGAATTTGCTTCTCACTCTAGTATTGGAAATGTCAGCGTATTTTGCTCTAGCAGCATAAGAGAATTCATCAACCCATTTTATTAGAAAGAATCGTAAAAACAACTATTGGAATGATTACAACTAAGAGATGGGTAGCGGCATCTTCCATGAATACCATGAAATTAAAATCAGTGGTTGCTAACCCACTGTGAATAGTAACTATGACATATGTCTCCTTTACTCGGATGATGGTACAAAGAAACCAACAAAATGGATTCAAACACAGAACATTGTAGTAGCTCTATATTAAAGTTACAGCCTATATACGTCCCACAGCTGGGTACAGGCCTCCTCTCATTTCTGAGGGTTTTAGGGCAAGGAAGTGTCAGCCGCGCTGCCCCAATGCGTTTGATAAACTTCACATGTCTTCGAAATATTTTTTTTATTTCACATGCAGGTTCTTCACGATGTTTTCCATCACCGCCGAGCTCGTGGTAAACCAGCAGATAAAATTGCAATTAACAATTTCATTGGTGCCGGCGAGGATCGAACCCGGGTTGATCGTGTACTGTGAATTTTACAGCAAGCGCTAACCACCTAAGCTACCATGGCCCTATATTATCTCCCTCTATATTATTAGCTCTATATTATCTATATACACAATAAATAAAATTTGTCTGTTTATAATGTCAATAAAGTAGCAAAATTAAAAATTTTGTACCACCATCTTCAATATAAATAAAGTGAGAACATCAATGTAGTCGAAGTCAACTAAAATTCGCATTACTAAGGATAAATAAAAAATACACGTTAGATCTTGATCTAATTTATGTGGGACCATATAAGAAACAACAGCATTCAAATATAATAAAAATCATCAAAATCAGTTCACCTGGAAAAAAGTTCTGAGATAACACACATAAAAAATACAATTATATAATACAGTCGAATTGAGGACCTCCTCCTTTTTTGAAGTTGGTTGATAAAATGAGAACACCATCAATGTACTCAAGTCTAAAAGCTTTTACTAACTGCATATGAAAGTATAAATGGTAATTATAAGAAAAACACAATTTTTAAAATTTTTGTCTGTCTGTCTGATTGTTCCGGCTAATCTCTGAAACGACTGAACCGATTTTGGTGGGACTTTCAGTGGCAGATAGTTGATGTTATAAGGAACATTTTTGGCTACTCTTATTTAAAAAAATTTGGGTGCCTTACAAAAAAAATTAAAACCCATGACAATCAAAACATAATGTTCCACGCAGTGAAGTCACGGAGATGAGCTAGCATTAGAATGGAAATAATTTTAATAAGTATGACTTACCCAAATCTCGCTCCTCTGACATATACTGCATATAATTCCTTATAGCTTGCGATATGAACATAACATCATCGGGGTCAATTATTTCAGCTAATGGGTATGTTTTTTCCTGTATCAACATAGCCAGGCGCTCTGTTGCATTCAGCGCAGAATATTGGACTAAACTGACGTTTAACAATGCAAATTGCTGGAGTAATTTTGTTACATTACTTATATATGAGCATTCCGTTGTATTAACTGGTCCCCAAGTGCCATTTGCATTGCAGTGCCTATACGCCGTGCCTTCACCACTACGACAAGGAACAATGGCAGTATGATTTAAGAGTAGCTGAGGCCAGGAATACAATCCTTTATTATTAATTGTGTGATTCGTTCCACAATACTGAGTTCTGTTTGATAGCACCAAAACTTGCACCGTATGGTTATGTCGTATACGGTTCTGGTCACTGTACATGCATGTCCAGTTACCCATATGATGGTTGGTTATATTCGGAAAGAATACTGTTGTTTCAGCCAACCCTTCTTCTTGCATATCTGTGTTAGTTACATTCACGTCACATATTTCAAGCATTGGATGCACCCATTTCAGTTCATACTTTGCCAACACTGAAGCGAATGGAGCATTACAAGTTAACATCAAAGTATCACCCTCAAATACCACTTGATCGTGACCAGGTTTTACAATTAAGGAGGTTGAAGGTAAAACACTGCCGCAAGCTGATAGATCCAAGAATATTTTCAGTTTACGGACAGTCTTATTGACCATGTTTTCTGGTGATCTGCATTTAGGATTACCCACAAGTTTTACACTGGTATTTCTGGACCAATCGCCTACCCATAATAGGTCACAATCACAAATAAGAGGATTTTCTGTTATATCTCTGCAAAGATAACAGTTAACTTTGACACATTTTATTATAGATAATGCTAATACTAATTTTATAAATTTTGTTCCCTTAATATAAAATGCCAATAGCAATTATCTATTACTGGAGTAGTCTTTTATTATGATTGTATTTTAAAATTTCAATTGCGAATGTATCATTTATATTATAAAATTTTATTATAAAATTTATATTATAAAAACTTACAGCTGTTTCAAGCCAACAAGATAGTCAAATGTTCCCGCAGCTAATGTTGAAATGAGATTCTGTGATAAAATCAATCTCTCCAAATTGACCAAACCCTTGAACATTTCTTTGTAAATGTTGCTTATTTGGTTGTAGGACAAATCCAGCCTTTGCAGTGAGGTCATATTGTAAAATGCATCAGATTCAATAAGAGTTATTTGATTTCTACTGAGATCTCTGAAATAATAAGAATTTAAGTTACAGAATTTAAATTTCACTATTGGGTACAGACATCTTCACATAGCTAAGAGTATTATGGAGCAATAATTTAACCAAACTGCTGCAATGCGTGTTGGCGAGCTTCACATATTCTTGAAATATTTTATTCATTCCTCAGAATGTATTACTTCACCAGCGAGCCCAGGGTAAATTGGCACTTCGAATTGCAATTTCATTAACCCTAATAAACAACAGACCATTAATATGGCCACCTCAACACAGCCCTCTCTCTCAAACTATGTTTTTGTGTTCTCTTTTATAATTAAGTTTTAATTCTTTACTATTCTTGGCTAACAGTAAATATAATATTGGTATAAAATACTTATTATAAATTGTAGAATGCTATCAAATTATACAATTAAATGAACTTGAAATGTAATTGAATAATTAGCATGGTTAGACAAAACCACAATGAAATTTTATGCTTAGTCAAACAAGTAAAGTCATAAGTAAGCCATATATATAACTTTAATTTACACAATATGAATCAATGATAATAAATATTTTACATTACATGTCCAATAACTGTAAATAGGCTATACACATCCCAAAGCTGGGCATAAACATCTTCTCATTTCTGGGAAGATTTTGAAGCAGGGAAGTGTGCGCATCGTAGTCTTACTATGTATTGGTGTAAGTACTTCACATACTTTGAAATATTATAAAAATTGTATGGGTGTAGGAAACTGAATCAGGAGATAGGCAGGAGCATCTTCATGATAACAATTCAAATAATAAAAAACTGCAATTTGCCAGTCTGCTTGCCAAGCTTGGCAACTGTGGCAAATGAGGTAATCCAGGAGGTAAAAAAAATAATAAAATCTATGAGGGAGGCCTATGTTCAGAAGTGGACTTTTATAGACTATAAGGGATGGATCACCTACTAGCATCACTGTGAGTTTTACTTGGACCTAGGATTTTTCCGGTCCAATTTGACTTAGGGACCTTCAAGAAAAGAGCTTACTTCTTTATAAAAGGCCGGCAATGCACCTGCAATTCCCCTGGTGTTACGGTTGTTTATGGGCGGTGGTAGTCACTTACCATCAGGTGAGCCGCATGCTTGTTTGACCTTCTTCTATAAAAATAATATGTTATCGCACTATAATGCTTGGCAAAATCTTCCCTGTGAAATAATCTATGGGGGAGGCCTATGTTCAACAGTGAACTTTTATAGGCTGTAATTGAAGGATGAATGGATGGATGGACATACATGTATTTCTCTTAATATTTCCCTTTACCGCCAAGCATATGGCTAAATACAGGTAAAGTTTTGATATGAACAATGATTTTTTACATAGTAAAGCTATGCTCAGCACGACCAAGAAAGAACTACACACAAAACACCAGCATGAAATAGGGACATAATGTAACTCTATTTGTAAGGTGATTGTAAAACAACGGAGACTCTTATACTGACAATGAGGCATTCCATCCTAGTCCTCAGAAGTGACAACACAACTAAATTCTGAATGTTAATTGATGATAGTTGGGTCACAGCTGCAGCAACTACTTATCATCAGGTAGACTTTTTGTACTTCTTCTTGTTTTAAAAGATATCCTCCATAATTTCCCTGATAATTCTCTGTCAACATATACTATGTGCTTATTGGTCACCCACATAAAATAATAAATATAGAAGTAACTTACAATTTCTGCAAATTAGGTAAATGAAGCTCTCGTGACAAAGTTGAGACAGCATTGCCAGACAAATTCCTTAAAAATTTAACACAAATTTTAATTCAAAAATAACAATGGTATATGTATTTAATTATACTACAATATATTATCTAACTGCTTTACATTCACATTAAAAGTGTTGTAATTATTCTATTTCACAATGAAGGTTTTGCCTTAATTGTAGCAGTGATGTGGACCAACAGGCGCGTTTGTGTGTGTAACTATGATTTGTTCAACTCATGATCGTGACTATGTGCTCCCGAGGCCTACACACTCTAACACAATGTGTATGTCACCAAGACTGCTGAATGGACTATTGTATTTTCTAAAACAAAATACTCTTAGCTTCACAATATATAGTGGTAAAATTCATATTCCTCAACAATGGCAGGCCTCATAAAAATTGTCTGGGTTGAACTCATGCACTCTTCTTACTCATCCGACATGAACCTATGGGCTAAACCTTGTTTTATAATTATAGGTCTTGATTCCAAGTTCAATGAAATGATTGGGAGGTTAAACCAAACCAGTTTTTTCAGTGGTGTGGCTAAATTAGTGGAAGTTTAAAGACAAACCATTATTTAATAATTCAGGAGTCCACTGATTACTTTTAGATGTCTTGCATAATTTAATCACTTGCAAAAAATTTAAAAGCTCGGTAAATCATCTAGAGAAGATTGAGTGTAAAATTGGAGATTGTCAACGTAAAAGTATTTTTTTTTTAATAGGATAGTGTGAGTGTGACAAACGAGCACACAGTCTACCTGATGGTAAGTGGTTGCTGTGGCCCATAAACATCTACATCTATCCTCAATTAAGAATCAAAATGCAGATGCATTGTCATCTGTGAGGAGTAAGATGGAATGCCTCATTTCCAGTAAAAAGGGTCTCCGGTTCTCTACACTCACCATACGAAACTCAGCAGCATTAAGCTACTAGTGTAAGAAAAAGACAGTTGATTACTTATGGAATGTATGAAAATTGCAAACAGGAGATGAGACAGTGTGTTATCTTGTGGGACGCCGGCAACAGTAGCAGTCCTAGAGGAATACACATCCTGTACCTGAATATGCTGTCGGCGCTCAAACAAGTAACTACGAAACCAGTTAACTACAGCCAGAGATATGTTGAGAGAGTGCAATTTATTTAACTAGATATCAAAACCAACTGTATTCAACGCATTGCTGAAATCTAACAAAGTATTGTTAATTTTTGATTTTCCATACCAAAACTAATGTCATCAGTAATTTATAAAAGTACTGTAGTCATACTACGACCAGGATTTAAATCAGATTGCAAGGGATTAATGAGGTTATGTTCTTCAATCTTCTTACATTTACAGAAAGATATGGAGGTGTTCTCTAATGGCTCCCTACAAAACAAAGTTTCAATAGAATAAGCATTCTACTGAATATCCAATGAATAAATAATACCAAAGTTATCAATTCAAATATGTTTTCAATTAGAAAATAGTGGTTATATTAAGTTACTCACAAGCTGACAACGACAGTCCATAGTTTACTAAGATCTATTTCCTTGAGTTCAGTAATCTGAGCTGGAGTGCCGCCGCATTTTAATTTCAGAGGTTCGTCAGGCTGCAGTTCCACTACTGCTCCATCTATAGACTTGTTTCCCTTACAAATGCACAAAGAGGGGCAGTAGCTTAGCGCTCCATCGAAAAACATGAACATTATCACCACAAAACACCGCCACATTTTGCTCGTTTCCCAAAAAAACTATATTATAAGATATGGCACAAAGCCAAAAACGTATAACAATCACATTTTCAAAGCTACTTATAAATTAAACTTCGTTCGGTGAGATATCTCATGCTCTGAGATAAACAACAGAGCTATTAATTATTACTTTGCGCTTATAAAACTTAGTGAACTCATTATTTTGGCAGAGTTTAAGTAGTGTGAAAATAAAAAGTAAACAACTAGAATATCGTACAAAAGCATCAATTCGACATTTGTAGAAAAATGACTGACTGAGTGATTGACTGACCGATTTGATTGAATTGAACAGATGTTATATAGAGAAGTGTATAACTCAGGGCTGCCTTTTCGAAATTTTAAGTTGCCGTGTTTTTGGATCTGCATTGCCGTGTTTTGGAATAAAAACTACAAAATGGCCGTGTTTTTATTTATTTTTAATTAATACGTAAGATTAAACATGATATAAAAAATTACTTCACAGTCATCATACAAATTTCTTATCGAATCCAAAACATCTTCTCCGTATTTGTTCATATTATATTTATTACTTTCCTTTATACTGTCTATCATTCGTTTTGTCGGTTTGAAATTTACACAATTTCCTTGGGATCGGATAAAGTGCTTAGCTAGTAAAGTTAAAAAAAAGTAAATAAACATTAGTATATCTAGTCAAGTTATGCAGGGGCCGGAGGACGTTTTAAAAATACTAATTTATTAATTAAAGATGTTTAATCGCTACAAGAACTAGCTTAAGACTAACTTAAAATTTTATCCTTAAAACAAAATGGATGAGAGCCCACACAAGAGCTCGGCAGTTTCTGTTTGCTCACTCAGCACATGCCTGTGGTCTGCAATCAGAATATTCTGCTGATGCGGACATCTTGGTGGGTCTCGCCACCCGTAACACCTTCCTCCCCAAGTTCGAAGTTCTCGTTTACAGGGGAACTTCGAATACAAAAATTAAACAAGTTTAAATGATACTTATGAACTAAGACACAGGTTACAATAATGATTATCAGTCCATACAATAAAATGGTCCATAGACTAACACTTTTAATCACCACAATTGTCTTTTCACTTTCACTATTTTTAATTTCACTTTTTCTTAATGCAACTGATAGAAATTTGAGGTCCACAAGATCTATTCCTTCTAGGTTGAGCTGCACCGGGGCTGACATCTCAAGAGATAAGTTTATCGCAGGTAGGTTAATAATAGGTAATATAAGGGGTGAAATGCTTTCAATACCATAGGGTTTCTTGTTAGATTGTGCCATGAATCTTCTGTCTTGCTATTTCATTATTGCAGATCTCGGAAAGTAAAGTAGACTCCTTAGCATAGATAATCCACCTGTTAGGTTGTATAAGCTGCACCCTTACGGCTTCCAAAGTAACTGGAACTTGGATGCATGAGGATATGTTTTCAGCATAAGTCATCATGTCTGTGATGCAATCATCCTTAATTAGTTGGGATATGTCGTCCTCAGGACAGAGGAAACTGTATTCACCGATTTCCTGACAAGGATGAGTAAGCAGTTTAATTTTCGACCCTTTCACTAAAAGGTATAGAAATTTAGGTAAAATGACAGAGGTACGATTATATGATAATACAGGTAAGGAATAGAGCTTATAATAAATATAAGTGTCCTTAGTGACGAGAGGTATTTCCAAAAGATAAGTTATACAATTTCCTTTTAAATAAGCTATCACCATTATAGTTTGCTCTATCTTAACTAAATTTTCTAATATAGGAGGGTATATAAGATTTTCTAATTTACTAATTTTTTCGAGTAGAATTAATAATCTTTTAGACTATATTACAGACTGGTGTAAAATTCCTAATCTACTCAAAGCTAAAGTGGTTTCTATCTCGTTTAATTTGATAAGGATAGCCTGAAAGTTATGAATCAATAAGTTATATGTACTTATAATCCGTGTTTCAATATGCTTAAAGCGTTCTCTTTCGACTATATTGCTTAAGTTATATGATAATGCTATAATATCTTTATTAATTTGGAATAGATTTTCATTTTATTTAAATGTAGAGTTGGTCAGAGCTTGTGCTATTTCAGTGATCAACGTCATCCTGTTGTCGTTACTATTCTGTTTAACTTTTACTTCTGTAATTAATTTATCGTATCTAACGGCATCATCATTATCGAGATTTCCTGTGATTACTTTAATTAAGGAACCTAGTGGGTTAAGTATACCGCATCTTGCTCGAAAAGAAGGGGTTATTTGTTCAAGCTTATTAATAGTTAAATTCCTAATATATTCTACTTGTGTATTAACATCTACATATATAATAATTTAAATAAGAATTTTTCATATAAATTATATGAAAAATTCTTATTTAAATTATTAACTAACTTATTTAATTCGGAAGAGCTCAGTACGTTGACCTTTACATCCTCTATGAATGGTGGCAATAATCCATTTACTTTTTTTTGTATAGTGGGAAATAAATAAATAAATAAGTTTATTATTACTGATGACAGAAGCTCCTTGCTTCACGGGTAGTATTACAGGATTGCTATTTAGCTCCTGAAGTTGAAGGGCCTGGAGATGTGTCACCGTGGCTACTACCAGAAGGAGCAGGAGGTGCCTGTGAAGGACGTTTTACATTCTTTAGAGGAAATTTACTATCACGTCCTTTAATGTTTACGGGAATAACGTTTCTACTAATGATATCTTTACTACTTCTTTTATTAGTACCTTCTGCATAAATAGTGTCTCCGGGTTCTATTTTTAATTCCGTTTCTCCACCTCTCTTTTCATTAATTTATTCTCTCTTTTGTATGGCTTGTTCTGTTAGATATTTATAGAGGTATTTAGTACGCTTTGCATGTTCTTTAACTAACTGTTGTAAATACTGTTTTTCAAAACCTACGTCGAATGAATGCCGTGAGTCTGTATGTCCTAATAAGACTTCAAAAGGTGTTAAGCCTGTGGTAGAGTGTATGCTATGATTGTATACCATTATTGCGTATGTCATGGAAGAGGCATCTGTATATTTGTGTTCATACTTTGCTAATCTATATATTTTCAGGATGGTTGAGTGGAATCTTTCAATTAATCCCATAGAATTTGGGTTATTAGGGGTTTCAATATGAAGTTCTATTTTATAAAAGGAAAGAAATTCTTTAAGTAAAGCATTATTAAACTCGGATCCGGGATCTGAACTTATTTTGTGGGGGACACCGTAAAAAGAAAAATATTTAACAAGAGCTCTGGTGACTTCGGGAGTCGATCTGTTAACTATTTCAAAGACCTGTCCTAATTTGCTGAAGGCATCAATTATTGTGAAATAATAGTGACCTTCGACTTTAAAGAGATCTATGAAAATTTCTTCAAGGGGTTTATTTTGGGTTTTCGTCAATTGGAGTTTAAGCTTTATAGAGTTCCGATCATATTTCATACTTTTACATGTGTCACATGAATTTATGACACTGGCTATGATTTGGGCCATATTATGCCAAAAGTGATGTAATGTGATGAAGTGAAAGTAAAATGAGCGTTTTATATGTGTGGCCGTGAAAGGAAAAGGGGAGATCTCCCGCCGGGCAAGGTGTTATGCCTGGGGAGCGGCCGACACTCCATGTGATAGTTCGGAGATGTTCTATATATACTGTTTATGATTCGGAATGTTGATAGCGCGATTTAGGCTTCCATCACCCCCCTGCTTAGACCGGAGGTCGATAGTGCAGTCGAGTTGTCGACGAATGTGCAAGTGCCAGGAGATTGCCTTGTAGTCTGCGGTGAGTCGAGAAGAAGGCAAGTAATCTGCGAGAATGCCGTGAAGCAGAGGCGAGTAGTAAGTTTCAGAGCCGTTGCCAAACACTGTATGGCGCAGAGAGTAGCTTGAAGGAACAGGAAGCATTATTATTCCAGTGCTGTGATGAACCTTGTGAAGCTAGATGGCTTGCAGGATATGAAGACTGCAGACGATATCTGCTCGAGAGCGAATGGGTGGGGTATTCTATGACGATGATGAAGCTTGAAGTTTCCGAAGGTTTTTGGTTGCGTTTTCAGATCACGTCGGGGTCACCACTGTGGCCGTGAAAGAAAAAGGGGAGATCTCCCGCCGGGCAAGGTGTTATGCCCGGGGAGCGGCCGACACTCCATGTGATAGTTCGGAGATGTTCTATATATACTGTTTATGATTCGGAATGTTGATAGTGCGATTTAGGCTTCGGTGTGTTTTCGCTTGTGGCGCGACGACAGCGCCGCTACATATGCAATAAAGTTTCTTTAGTACCACGATGGCAAGTTTTTCCGATATGATATTTTTGGAATATGTCTCTTTGTTCTTTCTCATTATCTACATATACGACTCTTTTGGTACATTCGAAAAATTGTACAAGTTTCATTTTTAAATAAGAAAATTACTAATTCCGTGAATTGTTTACAGTGTTCTTCATTTTCAAAGTAAATGAAGTATTTGGTTTTATTCCTAATATATTCTTTCAGAAATTGTTTTACTAAATCTGGTCGGTTTAAAGGTAAGTGTACTTCTACGATTGTTTGTTTTTCTCTAGATAAGTTTTTTACAGATAGTTTATCTATGTTCCAGCTGAACACTAAAATTTGATTGGGCTTAGTGTCGATTGCTTCCTGTAAGATTGGAATTCTCTGTGATTCTGTATCTTATCCTGAATATTCGGTTTCTATACTAGAGGGTTTTTCAGAGGCTGTTAATATGCTACTGGAAGTGTACGGTATGGAATAATCGGATCTTATTGATAGGGTTTTTTCTGAATCTGTATCCGTTATAACAATAGCCTTCTCAGAGTCTCTATCTGAAATGGACATTGATTCCGGAGGTGGTTGCCTAAATGTCTTTTTTTGTAATTCGTCTAATTCTTTAATGTCTTTTATTAAGTTCGGAATTTCCTGATTTCTATCTTCGTCTTTATCTACATTTGCATGAGTGGATGAAATTTCCCTTTTATCTATGGCATTAATTCTAATTCGCG